TTATGTTAAAAACAAAACATTAGGCCTATTTATGCATCTGTAACTGTGGTTTAAATGCATCCATGTCCCCTCTGAGATACATAAGCTGTGTAAATACATCTAAATGCTATTTCAGATGCAGATTCCAGAAATGTTTTCTTATGTTGGAATGAAAGACACTACCAGATGTAGTGCTTCTTATTCTTACACAAAAATACAAAATGGAAGAAAGTTAAAACTGAACACAATATTGCTACTCAAGCTGTGTATGAACATTATATATATATATATATTATTTATTTGCTTCTTTTTAATTTTGCATTTACTTGTACTATTACTTTCAATACTTAAGTACATTTAAGATTAAAAAAATACTTTTCGTACTTAAGTACAATAAATATCACATACTTTAAGACTTTTACTCAAGTAATATTCTAAACGGTGACTTCAACTTCTACCAAAGTCATTTTCTGGTAAGATATCTGTACTTTTACTTGAGTATGGCTTTCAGGTACTTTATACACCACTGCCCTCAAGCCATCCTAGGTGTATATGGCTTTCTTCTTTCAGATTAATACAATCAGAGTTTTATTTAAAAATGTCCTGGCTCTTCCAGTCTTTATAATGGCAGTGAATGGGTGTCATTATTCAATAGTCCAATAGAAGTCCAATAAAGCGCATCCATCCATTATAAAAAGTGTCTCAGACTGCTCCGGGGGATTAATAAAGGCCTCCTGAAGCGAATCGATGCATTTTTGCAAGAAAAATATCCATATTTAAAACTTTATAAACAGTAATTTTTAGCTTCCTCTAACTGTCTAACTTTTTCTTTTATAAAATGAAATAATTATATGTAGAAATGTCATGCCTTCATAACCAGCATTAGCTGTGACCAGCAACAACAGTGAATATTTAGTTAGTGGACAAGTCATGTTAGTTTCTTTGCACATTTGCAGAACTGCATTGCAGAGCACTTCTCTCTCTCTCTCTCTCTCTCTCTCTCTCTCTTAATAAACTCAAAGTATATTTTTAGCTGGGGTGCATGAATCTTGACAAATGAACTTGAAGCTCCACTGTAGAGTGAGTACCAGTGTTGTTGACCCTGATGAGATGCTGCTGAATGCAGAAGTCCTTGTTTTGTGAGCCATATGCAGTTACATAATATTGCATAACACCATCTCAGCTCTGAAGGGTTCTGCTTTTAGGGCACATGAGTTTTATTTAAAGGGGTCATATGATGCGATTTCAATTTTTCCTTGCGCTGTCAATCGCCAGATCCGCTTTCACCGTGGACGAAGCGGTGTTCAGCCCGGGGTCGTCAAATGTGGTTGCCGCAAGCCTTCTTCGTCGAATTTGCCGGGCGCCGTGCCCACTGGATGCAACAAATGCCTCGTTTGTAATGGGTTTTTATTGGGCAACGCAACATCATTTGACCCCTTTAAAGGGCATCTATTATGCTTTTTTCAATTTTACCTTTTCTTTAATGTGTATAGCTGTTTGTGCATGCAAACAATCTGCAAACTTACAAACTGTACAAAGTCCTTGCCAATAGGAGTTAATCTCTCTAACAGAAAACACTTGCCTGAAATGCTTTGTTTGTAGTCCTGCCATTATTTACATGACTTAGCTACATCACCCTGTTACACATTTGCATAATGTGCCTACTGGCTGCTTTGGTCCACCTTCAAAGAACAGTTTGGTAAGTGATGTCGAGGATACACTGTTTTTTTTTTCACTGCAAGGGTAAAAAAACATTATTTCATTGTTTGGACTTCCAATACCAAGGCCTGAATTATCGTAGATATAAACTGTTTACAGCTGCTGATGAAACCTCAGGAGCTGAAACCTGATAAGTAAGGGCCATTACATTTCCAGACAGAGAGTGACTAGAGGTGCTGCAGTAATGTTAAAACAAAAAAATTTTTTTTTCTTAAATCATGTAAATGCATTCTAGTAGACACCAGAAATAAAATCATGAACTTATAAATAAGCATAATATAGGCTCGTTAATTCTGGGCTGTGATGTAAAGAAATTACCTCAAACCATTAGGCCTAAACTCCTGAAGCAAAGGTAATGCAATTGTTTGTCAGATGTACGGTGCAGGTGTCTGCCTGTGTGTTAGAGCATGATGGAAAACTCTCTGCAGTGTAGAGTATCCAGAAATTCAGGTAAGAACTGACCAAGTTTTGGGTCAGTACAGAGAGAAAAAAACACAGACACTGCGGTGAGACAGAAGGAACTGCTTCTTAAACGCCATCTGGTGTCATAGTTATTGTTCTGTTTACAGCCTTTCAAGACTGTCTTGATGTTTGCTTAGTTAACAGAGTACATTCATCTAGAAATGTCTTGCTTGAGTAAATTGCATCTTGAAATAGATAATATATCAATTTTTCTAATTATAAACTTCTAACAGGTAGTGTTGTCACGGTACCAAAATTTCAGTATTCGGTACCAATACCAGTGAAAATCCACGGTTCTCGGTACCAATTTCGGTACCAAAGCAAAACCCAGGGGCTAAATATCACGTTAATGGGGTCGTTTTTCAACATGAAAACATGAAAAACAACCCGCAGCAACAGTGTTAAAGCAGCCCAATTCCGCGGGAAAACCGCGGACCTGGCAACACTGGAAGAGGATAGCTTTCGGATCGCCATCAAGAACCGGTACTTAAGAAAACCTGGTATCGTACCGTTTTCATTTTTTTTAGTACCGACTTGGTACCGAAATACCGGGTCTTTTGACAACACTACTAACAGGTTTACTGAACAACAGTTATGTTAGTTAAAAAAAATTGTGCATAGTATGTGTACAGTACTATGCACAATTCAAGTTCAAGTCAAGTTGCAATACCAAACATGACCACATGGAGATACCAAAAAAAAACAAAAACAACCAAACGCCTTGGGCTGACTGCATATTCATACTACAGTACACGGATCCATTCAGAATGACTAAACACTGCAACATACACATGACAAATCAAAAAATTTCCTGAATGTGTTTGGAAACAGCGTGAATGTGTCTTTGCATAAATACAATGTATGATCTGTGTGTCAAGAGCACTCATACACAGTTTGTTTGTTTGTGCATCAGTATATCAGACTCATGCGTGCTTACTGTACGACTCCTGCACGTAACTGCAACGTCTTTACCTTAATTATAGTCCTCAACCATCAAAACTTTAATAAAGAGAAGCTGTTTGCTTTATCCAGCCGAGAAAACATAGTTTGTGAATCATACAGCGGGGGGATGTTTTGATGTTCCGTTCAGTCTGTATTTCTGTGTTAAATTATTTTAACGTGTTGGAAGGATTTTATAATTAATCGCATGCATTAACGTTGACAGCCCTAGTTGTAAGTGATGTTAGCCTTTCTGGAACATCTGCCAGACTTAACTACTGAATTAGACACACCCCCTTCTTACAAAACTCCGCCCTTCCAGGATACCATTGTAACATTGCAAGTAGAAAAAAAAAACAACTAAAAATTATTATGAAGCTGAAATTGCTTCTTAACCGGAATGATCCTCTATTATCTCAGCTTAATGCATTTCATAATTGGGCTCCCCTGTGACATACAAAGTGATTGATGGACAGTCAGAAATAGGTTCTGAAGACTCCAACTGCATTTCTCTGTCAAATTTTTTTTGCAGTTTATAAAGCCTAGGGCTGTCTATGATATTTTAGGACAACTATTTCAGTGATACTGTCAGGAAACGGGGATATATTTTGAATGGCATTTTATCCAAAAATCACTTGCAACACCTTCAAGCTTGGCAGTAATGCAAATGCAGACATCTTTGTTTCACTGCAGAGCAGTTGCTGTGTGATGGATTACGTCTATAATGTTCGCTGTTACTCTTCCACAGACCCCGTTCCTGCACACCACAGACCGCAATGTTTGGACGCTGCCTGCCTCGATCAGCCAACTCCTAGTTCTGCTGCACCTGATTGGACTGCCTGCCTGAGAGCTGATCGTTGCTACAGTTGCCATGACTTAGAGACACTCCTGACACAGAGATGGAGAAAAAGAAAGTGTGCCCTCGTCTCCTGGACTACCTAGTGGTAGTTGGAGCCAGGTAAGGGAGATTGTTGAATGGAATGTGGGCGTTTTTGTGTGTATACAGCTCAGACATAGGTTCTATAGGTGCTTTTTTTTTTCAAATTGTTGACAGGGGAATTGAATCACAGGTGAACTGATTGTGTGTTTTGTTTGTATGTGACCTGTGCAGGTGTATTCCAGGTGCCCGGCCTCAGGTGTACACTGTCAGTTAATGTTAAATGTGGTTGTATGTTATCATGATGAAGTTTGGTGTGGTTTTGACAGCAGATCACAATATACTGGATAAGAAAAGGTGGAACCTGGGAAATATGTTTGTGGAGGAGCCCTTCTCAAACTTCCAGCCTTAAAGGGGTCATATGATGCGATTTCAATTTTTCCTTTCTCTTTGGAGTGTTACAAGCTCTTGGTGCATAAAGAAGATCTGTAAAGTTCCAAATCCCTACTCCCATAATCCTGGGTTTTATAAACAGGTGTTTGAATGGGAGCTGCAAGGAGTTTGCGAGATTGTTATGGAAATATAGAATTATAGACCATTTATAATTAAAACAATATAATTAAAAAAGTTAAAGGGGTCATATGATGCTTTTTTAAAGATCATTATTTTGTGTATTTGGTGTAACAGAATATGTTG